TGAAAATATTGTAAAGGCAGTAAGGCACTTATTATGTGTTCTTTCTAAAACTCATCCAAGATGAGCTCTGGTGAATCACATCTTTAATCCTGACTACTCAGGAGGCAAGGTCTGTGGATTGTGGTTCATAGCCACCTGCAGCAGGAGAGACTGTAAGTCTCCAATGAACAAGCAAGGTAGGTTGAGGTATGGCTCAATGAAACTATATCAGCCCTAAGTGAAACACTAAGAGGTAGCAGTATACTAAAGAGGAGGAGGAGGAAGAGGAGGAGGAAAGGAGGAGAAAGACAAAGAAGTGGACAAGGAGGAGGATGAACATGAGGAGAAGGAGGTGGTCCAACTAAAGAACAACCAACCAACAAAAATGCCAAATATTTTTAAATGGAGTAACAATAGCAATTTCCATTTCTCCAAAGAAAAAGAAAAGACAGAATTGTACAAGAAATAAAATTATGTTGTCAGGAAATGTGAAAGAAACTATAATGAGATAGAATCACACTTGTCAAGATGGCTATAACTAAAGAAAAAAAACATATTTTGATAAGATAAGAAGATTATGGAACCCCTATCTACTGTCAATAGTAATGCAAAATATTGCTACCATAGGACATAGGTTGTGGAAGTTCCTCAAAAACAAAATGAGTAATATGATGACCATATGATCCTACAATGTCAATTCTGAGTATTATTCAGGAAAAATGAAGATTGCCAAGAAACACTGAAACATTTATGTTCACTATGTAATACCCAACGTTCTCAAACAGTGTAAATGTCCACAGAGCAGTAAGGAGATTTAGAAAATGAAGACGATATATAAAATGAAGCAGAATATTACTCAGCTTTTTGCACTGAGTAATAAGAGTCAACCTGAATGATGTCAGTCACCAAAAAACAAATGGTTTATGATTTTACTTGCAATGAGTTATTACTCAAGCATTCCTCTAGCTTCCTCAGTGAAGCTGGAAAAGTCTAGAGATACATGTTACAACAATGTATTTGAAGTCAACAATAATGTTCTGGATAGTGAAATGTAAAGAGACACAAGGGCTCTTATTATATGTTCCTTCCTTCCTTCCTTCCCTCCTTCCTTCCTTCCTTCTTCCCTTCCTTTCTTCCTTTTCTTTTCTTTTTCTTTCTTTCTTTCTTTTTTGTGGGTCATGGAGCTTGAACTCTGGGCCTGGGTGCTGTCCCTCAGCTCTTCAGCTCAAGGCTAGCATTCTATTACTTGAGCCACAGCACCACTTCCAGTTTTCTGAGTGGCTAATTGGAGATAAGGTCTCAAGGACATTCCTGTCCGGTCTGGCTTTGAACCGTGATCCTCAGATCTCAGCCTCCTGAGTAGCTAGGATTACAGGCGTGAGCCACCAGCGCCCAGCTTTACATGTTCTTTCTAAAAAATTTTCTAAAAATCACCAAACATGGGCTCTGGTGGCTCACCTTTTTAATCCTGACTACTCATAAGAGGCTGAGATCTGAGGATCACAGTTTATAGCCACCTGAAGCAGGAGACTATAAAGTCACCAGTGAACAAGCAAAAATGTTGAAGTGGAGGTTTGGCTGTATTATAGAGCACCAGCCCTAAGCCAAAAAGGAAAAAGGGCTAACAGTGAGGCAATGAGAAGGAGAAAGACAAAGACGTATACAAGGAGGAGGAGGAGCATGAAAAAAAGGAGTATGAAAAAAAGGTGGAAAGTGGCTGTGGGGGTGGAGGAGGCAACGGAGGATGTGGTGGTTGTCCAACTCAACAACAAAAAACAACAAACATAAATCCCAACCTTATTTTAAAAATGGACTAAAGATTAGAATTACCATTTGTCCAAAGAAATAGAAATGAGAAAATTGTACAAGCAATGTAATTAAGTCATCAGGAAATATGAATCAAAACTATAAGGAAATCAAATCATACCTGCCAAGATGGCTATTATTTTTTAAAAAGGTTAGTATGACTAACATATGATCCCAAAATGCCTTAAATTTGGGCCTGGGCACTGTCCTTCAGCTCTTCAGCTCAAGGCTAGCACTCTACCACTTGAGCCACAGTGGCACTTCTGCCTTTTTCTGCGTATGTGGTACTGAGGAATTGAAGCCAGGGCCTCATGCATGCAAGGCAAGCACTGGGCCACCTTCCCAGCCCATGAAGCCCTAGATTTGATTCCTCAGTACCACATAAACAGAAGAAGCTGGAAGTGATGGCATAGTTCAAGTGGTAGAGTTTCAAGGACAGCACTTAGGCCCTGAGTTCAAGCCCCACAACTAACAAAAATATTACAAGGACAAGGAGACCTACTGTCTATTCAGGGTTTGTTTTTTGTTTTTTGCCAGTCCTAGAGCTTGAACTCAGGGCCTGAGCACTATATCCCTGAGTTTCTTTTGCCCAAGGCTAGCACTCTACCACTTGAGCCACAGTGCCACTTCTAATTGTGGTTAATTGAAGATAAAAGTCTCAGAGGGACTTTTCTGCCCCAGCTGGCTTTGAACTGCGATCCTCAGATCTCAACCTCCTGAGAAGCTAGAATTACAGGTATGTGTTACTGGTGCCTGGCTCTCCTTGTAATTTTTAAAACAGTATACAAAATGTGAGCTGGTGACTCATAACTTTATTCTTTTTTTTTTTTTTTTTTTTTGAGTTGGGTCGTGGGACCTGAACTCTGGGCCTGGGCGCTGTCCCTCAGCTCTTCAGCTCAAGGCTAGCGCTCTACCACTTGAGCCACAGCGCCACTTCCAGCTTTTTTCTTTTTGCTTATGTGGTGCTAAGGAATCGAACCCAGGGCCTCAGGCATGCAAGGCAGGCACTCTACCACTGAGCCATCTTCTCAGCCCCACAACTTTATTCTTTTTTTTTTTGTCGGTCGTGGGGCTTGAACTCTGGGCCTGGGCGCTGTCCCTCAGCTCTTCAGCTCAAGGCTAGCGCTCTACCACTTGAGCTACAGCACCACTTCCGGTTTTCTGGTGGTTTATTGGAGATAGGAGTCTCACGGTCTCTCCTGCCCGGGCTGGCTTTGAACCGCGATCCTCAGATCTCAGCCTCCTGAGTAGCTAGGATTACAGGCATGAGCCACCAGCGCCCGGATACAACTTTATTCTTAACTACTACTCAGGAGGCTGCAATTCTTGGATCATGGTTCAAAGCCAGGTGGACCATGAGAGTCTATAAGACTCCAATTAACAAGCAGAAATGCTGAAAGTGGAGGTTTTGCTCAAGTGATAGACCACCAGCCCTATGCAAAAGACCTAAGAGATAGATAGCATCCTAGTGAGGAGGAAATGGAGTAGGAGAAGGAGGAAGGAAGAGGAGAAAGAGGAGGAGAAGGAGAAAACAGAAGGGAAAAGAAGATCAAGAGGCTATGGAGGAAAAGGTGGAGAGGAAGTGGAAGATGAGGGGGAGGTGGTAGAGAAGGAGGAAGAGCAGGAACAGAAAGAGATGGAGGAGAAGGTACAATGCAGAAAAAAAACCCTACTAACACAATTTTAAAAGTGGACTAAGGATTTGAGTTAATATTTTTCTAAAGACATAGAAATGGCCAATATGTACATGCCACTATCAAGTCATCTGGAAATGCGAATCAAAACTATGAAGAGCTTCACATTCTACCTTCCAAGATGGCTATAATTTTTAAAAAAGAAAAGAAGCAACAAGGTTTGCTAAGACAATGGAACCCCTATCTACTGTCCCTGAGAATGCAAAATAATGCAATAATTATGACAAACTCTATGGTGGTTCCTAAAAAAAAAAAAAAGAAACAACATGTGACTCCCATGTGATCCTGAAGTCTCAATTCTGAGTATTGTTCAGAAAAAGATGAATTCAAGATTGCCAAGAAACATTGACATACCTATGTTCGCTAAAGCACCTACTCACAATAGCCAAGATATGGAAACAATCTATATCTCCACAGAAAGATAGACTGATAAAGAGACGTACTGTATAGATAAAATGAAACACGGCATTGACCACTGAATTGTAGACTTAAGGACAATAAGACTCTATTGCTTTGAAATTACCTTCAGTGTGGAGGGAAGTTAGCAAAATCTACTGTTGGAAAAGGATGATTTTTAGAATGAATGGGAAATAAGAATATATCAAGAAATAATTTCAAAAATTTACAAGGTGTATTCAAATATATTTTCAAATGGATACTATGTTGAAAATAGAATTTAAGCTCAATTAAATTAAAACTTTCAGTGAAGGCTAACTGCAGTAGAAAGTCATCTGTCCATTTCTCAAGCATACTTATTCTTCCTCGATCAGTTATGAATCCTTTTTCCCCTGCACATTTGCCATCCTCTTTTAAACAAAGTGTTGCTCTTGGGCTTAAAATAAGTGGTACCCATGGATACATGTGTGTGATGTACAACACATTTATCCATATGTATACAGGTAAACAGCATACTGTATGGTTTGGTTATGCAAAGGATGTTTTATTATTTATGAAGACAAAAGTAAATACATAAATTAAAAGCTACAGGATAAATATTTTTTAAAACCTGTAGTTAAACACTTGAAAAAATGAACTCAAAACAGCAAAATTCAAGGCAGTTAATATTTGTATTAGTGTTGGCCTGCCCATTTTGTCTATAGTGTTTTCTCTTGGATATTTTGTAACCAATGTTACTGTGAATCCATTAAGCTTTTTTTTTGGGGGGGGGGGTCAATCGTGGGGCTTGAACTCTGGGCCTGAGTGCTGTCCCTGAGCTCTTCAGCTCAAGGCTAGTAGCACTCTACCATTTGAGCCCAGCACTACTTCCGGTTTTCTGGTGGTTAATTGGAGATCAGAGTTTCATGGACATTCCTGCTCCGTCTGGCTTTGAACTATGATCCTCAGATCTCAGCCTCTTGAGTAGCTAGGATTACAAGCGTGAGCCACTGGCACCCAGCTAAGCTTTATAAATTCTATTTCATAAAATGTAATCTTAAGATGACTTAAACTGTTATGTATGTCTTTTTAAAAACAGTTTATTAGTTTCAAAACAAGATGTTCTTCATTCTTTCTATGCTACAGGCAACTTTGAAACAATGCATCACATAGTTCCTGTTTATTACCCACATGTGGGTAAGCCAAAATTAGTCTTTTTCTCTGACATACAGAACTACCTTGCAAATAGAAATGCATCTTCTGAAAGTTCTCTAGAAGATAACTCTACAACTGCTGAAGATATGGGGTAGGTTCCTTCAAATACTCATATGGTTTATCGTTTTTAAAGAGATGAGAACTATTGCCAGTAGTAAGAGAGGCCCTCCATTTGTCTTGTAGTTCTCTGTTCTCAGTCCTTCTCAGCCAAACACACACACACACACACACACACAAAGTTCACTGTTGGTTATTCCAGATAGCTTGTTCAGGAACGGAAGTAGGAGAGATGACTTAGGAAAGTACCAGAAAAAAAGATGTCTGAATGATCAAAGATGTTTTATTTTTTTCTTTTGCCATATTGGGGTTTGAAATCAAGCCCTCTTGCTTTCCAGGCAGTGCTTTTTTTTTTTTTTTTTTGCTTTAGTACTTTTTCAGATAGCTGTAGATTACCAGGATGAGACGCAGAATTGTGAGTCTGGAATACACTTAATTGGGTCTTGCCTCTTATTCATTCACAATAAAATGAGAGATATATGGGAATATGCTTTACTGCTTACCTACAACATACATTATCTTTATTATCCAAACCATAGCCTTTTTGTCCACAGAACTCCTGATAGTTTCTGGAAGATTTATACTTGGTATCTATTCCACAACAGTGTTCTTAATGTCTTTTTTCTTTTTGGAGCACTTTGAGAAGTACGACATCTCTTTCATAAGGTGGGAAACAAAGCAATAAATAATATGCACAGGTTTAGAAAACAAAGTGGGTGAATTCTAGCTGAGTGCTGGTGGCTCATACCTATAATCCTAGCTACTCAGGAGGCTAAGATCTGAAGATTATCATTCCAAGCCAGCCCAGACAAAAGTGTGGGACTCTTTTCTCCAGTTAACCAGCAAAAAGCTGGAAGTAGAGGTATGGCTTAAATGGTAGAACATCAGCCTTGAGCAAAAAAAAAAATGCAGAGCATGAGGCCCTGAGTCCAAGGCTCAAGGCTCAGTACACACACACACACAAGTTGGTGCATTCTGTATATTGCTGCACACACTGAAGTAGATCAGTAGTGGCCCACACACATTCTATATTCCTGAGGAAAGCTGAGATCACCAGGACCAGACTGATGAAACAGCAAATCAAGCATTCAATCCTCATTTGCCTAACTAGGGACATTAAATACCTTAGATGCAATAAATTCTTGTACACTGAAAAGGTAAGCTATCTAAATGGAGCCAGGACAATGAGGGTTTCTTTGAGAAGTCAGTGAGTATGTTCAATTTTGAGTTTTCAGCTTTATCCTGTGAAAAGTATTACATAAGTGTTTTCTTTCAAATGTCTATTATTTCCTTAGGTAGCATTTTCACTTCAGGCATGCCAAATTATTGTTTTAGTATCCCCAAAGATTTACATCTTACTACATGCTTCTAATAAAAGGTTATATTTCTATTTTTAGTACACTACTAAATGCATTATGGAATTTCATCCAGCTCTTGATAAAGATTTCTTTCAGGGTATGCATATTTTTAACATTTTAGTAATTTAACATAAAGCTAAGAGATGAGAATAAAGCTGAAAGGTCATGAAATTATTAAACACAAAATACCCAGCTGGAATATATCTTAGAGTTACAGTACTTACCAGCCATATGCAGGGTCCTGGGTTTGGTCCTCAGCTGTGGAAAAAAATAAAGTAAAATAAATAATTTTTTTAAAAAACAGAGAATCAGATTTTAGTTTCTAGAAAATTGACAGAAGCAGCCCCTTCTGTTGGCTTTAAGGGAAAGAATGAACTGGCATAAGCTGAAGCATATGTACACATGTACAGTCTGTATTGAACACTCAAGGCTAGGAGACTGCACAGCTTAGACTGTCCAATCCAAAAATCTCAAAGTATGGGTTCCGCCTCACAGCTGGCCTATGTCCTCTAAGGAACACAGTGAGGCAGCATCTGTCGAGAGACAGAGTGTGTTTTCCACTTCTTTCACAAACGCATGCAGTCTGTGCTCATGTGTATTTACACAAGCCTGCTTTCCCTACAGGGAGGAAAAAGTCAGACTCCTTGACGTTGTTTCTGACCCTCAAACTGAACTTGATACTATCAATGTACAGTTTAATTAAAGATTAGGTCAAACTACTTTTTATTTAAAGCTGCTTTTGAACAAATTCCTTCACTGTTCAATTAAAAATAATATATGGTATTAAACAAAAGTACATATTATTGCTTTTTTTCTGTATTTGTCATAGTAAATACTTCTGACAGGTGTTTCCTCTCTTCAAAAACATTAAGAGATGCTTGAGCCATAGTAATCTGAAAATGGACATTAAATGCATTTATATACTGTGTATAAAGATCCACTGAGAATACTGAACAACACTGCACAGTGAAAAAAGCAAATTGTTAATTTATTACTTATCTATCTCTAAAGCCCATAGAATGTTGATAGAGTGGATCCATCTCTTGTTAATATAAAAATAACTTGCTAGCTGGGTTAAATGCTTTTGGCTTCTATACCTGTAAGGAATGTGAATCTCTGGGACTCATAATTCAAAGAAAGTATATTTTATATAAGGTATATACTCTATAAGTATTTCTAAAATACCTAGTATATCTTGCTAAATATGGAAGCATTAAGTTTCTTTACATTAAAAAATGAACTTTAATAGTGCAAATAACTTCCTTTGACCAGTGCTATGATTGAACAGTAATAACAGAAGATTTATGAGTTTTAAAAATAAGTTTTAAAACTCAGATAATATTTTTAGTCACAAACTATAGGAGGTTTTTAAACTCACTTGCAAAGCTCAAAAACAACTTTATATTATTTTTGTTTTGTAAAACCTTAGTTTATTTAATTTCATAAGGAAAATAAACTTAATATGTACCAGTAATGTAGGAATGGTGTTAACATTTTGACTTTAGAAAATAAGATGCCCACTTCATCCCTAAAAAAAAATAGAAGTAAGCAACATAAAAGTATTTTTAGTTATCTTATAGGTATTGTGCAATAAAGCTGAAGTAGAAAGTTTTGCAAATGCATTAGAAGCGGATAAAATCTTACATTTGTAAAATAATATATTGTGCTGGTACAAAAACATTTTAAATTGTATTTTGAGAAAACCTCCCTCCAAAAAGTTTTTAGTTTGAAGAGATTACACTAGTTTTTGTGATTTCTGTTCTCAATCAATGGCTTGATTGTGAACAAGAGTTGTACAAGACATAATTCTAAAGAACTCTATTAGCTTTTATCTTTTTAAAATACACCCTTTAGTAAAACAACACTATCAACAACAGTGCTGTTTACAGATAGGAAAAATGAGGCTTGGAGAAGCACAGGCATAGGAACCCACCTCTCAAATACTCCACTAAGAATTGTGAAGCATGTTCTCATACAAACAGGTATACGACGTAGGGGAAGGTGAACTTGGCAGAGCATAACCAGCTAAAGGCAACTGCTGATACATGGCTCCAGAATGGTGTGGGTAGTACACATGAATTTAAGAAACAGGACTAGCTGCAAGCAAGATATCTAGGTTGGAAAAATACATTCAAAATATATTTAGTATATTCAAAATATATTAAAGGATGAAAAGAAGACAGACATTAGTAATTACTAGCTATGATTAATGGAACAATAGAACTTTCATTCACTTTTAAGGAAAATGAAAAAATAAAATAGCCACTAATAGTTTTATGTATTCTTACAAAGTAAAGCATACATGTACCCATATCTAGCAGTCCCACTTTTCCTAGGTAATTTTTCCAATTGAAATGAAAAGTTAAGTTTAGAAAACCTGTGCCTGAATATTTATAATGGTTTATATGTAATTAAAAACTGAAAACAGCCAGGCATCAGTGGCTCCTATCAGAGGCTGAGATCTAAGGATTTTGATGCAAAGATAGCGTAGGCAGAAAAGTCTGTGAGACTCTTAATCTACAATTAACCAGCAAAATACCTTGAAGTGAAGCAAGGCACTGTTTGCTCATACTCAGGAGGCTGAGATATGAAAATTATGGTTCAAAGCCAGTCCTGGTAGCAAAGTATGTGAAACTCTCACCTCTAATTAACCACCAAAAAGTTGGAAGTGATGCTATGGTTCTAATAGTAGAGCACTAGCCTAGAGCACAAAAGCTCAGGGACAGCACCCAGGCCCTTAGTTCAAGCCCTAGGACCAGGAAACCAAAAAGTCTGAAGTGAACCTGTGGCTCAAGTGGTAAAGTGCTAACCTTGAATGAAAAAGCTAAAGGAGAGCACTCTAGCCCTAAGTTCAAGTCCCAGTAGTAAAACAACAACCAGAAAAAAAAAAAAAAAAGCCAACCCACAAAGTGAAAAATAACCCAAAAGTATCTCACCTGGGGATAAACAATCTATTGTATAGATGCATATTACTAGGCAATGAAAAGGCATGAACCATTGACACAATAATATGGATATGTCTCATAGGCATTATGGTAGTGATAGAACTAGAGTTAATTATATTATGTATATTATATACATATATATGTGTATATATATATATATATATACACATATATATGTATGAGATTCTGACAACTAATGTAGAGAAGACAGAGTAGTAGTTCCCAGGAACTGGAAGCAGGACAAATGGTTAACTACAAAAGTGAGTACAAAGGAATTTGGAGGAGATACTGTGTGTCTTCATTGTGGTGGTAACAGCACTACAGATGCTCATCAAAACCTGTCCAGCTATGCACTCATAAAGGTAAATATAACTATGTATATTATGCCTTAAATAGTGAGGGAAATAGTGGAATGGTGAAGAAAAGCTGCAATTGATATATTGGATAAAACATTTTATATAAAATATAGCTATATAATTATATACATGTTATCTTTTATATAAATTATGTAAACAAAACCTTTTTATTATATATGATTTTCACTATATTTTGCACTATAAAGACATGTTTAAAGGCATTTTAAAACTTCAGCTTGGGGCTTTAATTTGGGGCTTTATACTTGCTAGGTACCCTCTTGACTGAGCTACATCTCCAGCTCTTTTTTTACTCTAGCTATTTTGTGTGTGTGCCAGATCTGGGGCTTGAACTCAGGGACTCATGATCTTGTGTGGCTTTTTTACTCAAGGCTGGTGCTCTACCACTTGAGCTATCCTTCTAGCTTTTCCATTGGTTAGGTGGAGATGTGTCTCACAGACTTTTCTGCCCAGTCTTCAAACAATGATCCTTTTAGCCTTTGGCCTCCTAAGTTAGCTAGGATTTCAGGTGTGAGCCCAGCTTGCTCTAGTTATTTTTGAGATGGGATTTTGTTTTTTGTCCAAACCAGTCATAGCTAGGAATGACAGGTTTGCACTATAATGTCCAGCATTTTCTGTTGGTCTTAGGAGCTTTTTGCCCAGGATGGACTCAAACTGAGATCTAATCTCAGTTTCCCGAGTAGCAAGGATTACAAGTGTGGCCACTGTGCCCAGCTTTTAAAGACAACCTTAACAAATTATTACAATGACAAATATAGGGGGGAAAGACAAATTATAAGGGTTGAGGGGAAAATGGGGAGAACAAAGGAAGGTGTGACTCATGACCTGATTTACGGAATTGTAACCCATTTGTACAACTATTTAATCAGCAACAACAATAAAAGAATATAGGGACTGGAGGTGTGGCTTATGTGGTAGAGAACCTGCCTAGCAAGCATGAGTAGTACCACCAAAGGAAAAAAAAGAGTAATTCTAAGACCAATACAACACCCAATAAAATCTTTATCACTCTAAAGTCATCCATACTTTTTTGAAGACTAGCCAACTAAGAATATCAAAGAAAGATAGGGAAACAGTAATTTAGACTGCTAATACAGAGTCAAATTATTTAAGAGGATACAAAATTCTTTGCAAAGTATAAAACACAAATATTAAGTAGGTCAGTATGACAAACACCACTAACATTATGATCAATCTGCTTCATTTAAACACTGCTTCAGCCATTTACTAGCTGCTCTATGAACAAAATTGCCTAATTACCTAATTGCTGTGAGCTTTATTTTCTCAACTGTAAAGTGCAAAGTCCTCAGTTTTAGTAAAAATTAAGTGAGAAAAAAGCATTTGATACACATAAAGTTATAAATAAGTGCCATCCATTACTAATTATTGATGTAATCATGGAGATACTATTTTCAAATTTTGTCTTTAACTGCAAATAGTGGTTTGTTTCAGGAGCTAGGACCACTTAGATTTGCTGGGGGCTTTAGGGAGACTGTTGCACAGAGTGGCAAAAGGTAGGACAAAAGAAGCAGTGGTTGCAGCACAGGACACTCAGTTGGCTGCTGGAGGTGAAGAGCCTTGTTATCTTTCCACCCTACCCGCAGAAACGCCTAGGGGACGTGCCAAGGGTGCAAGATGGAGGGAGCTAATCATTAGCCTTGACTGTAGTTACCGTGTCCCAGATTCTATTTGCTGCTCTTAGGGGGGGGAGAGGATACTTTCATTTTTAAAACAATTAAACACTATTTCCATTTTCTCCATATAAATACAGGAATCTGTCTTTGAAGGAATCTGAAAAGTTGCTAACAAATAATGATATACATGAACCTCACCTTCTCCAAAACCCAAAAGTAAATGAAAATGTGTTTGTGGAAAAGGAGTAATACCATCCTCAAGTGGTCTGATTTCCTCACTGTATGGAACTGAACAACATCTTTTGAAGGGTCTGTGGTTAAACGGTGTCTCAGTATATGAGTTAAGTTCTTGTTTGATTTGCTTCTTTGTAGAACCGGAGACTTTGCTTTCCACATGCAAATTCAACGATCTGTGTTTATCACTCTGCACGCGATTTACTGGGAAAATAAAGATTTGCTTTCTTAAGTCCTTTTTGAACCAAAGGAATTTGGGTGTACTTTTTTTCCCCCTAAGGTACTAATCTAGTTACAGAATGGGAACTGGGATGGAAGCCTGGAGATGGCTCTGATTCACTAAATATAATTTGTGCCTGAACTGGACTGTTCTAGTATGACAAGTGACACTATTATGCTCTGCTTTCCAATCTGGAAAGACAGCTATTGGAAGATATACAAAAAACATATACAAGAGTCGTTTCTTCCGTGACATTTTAACTTTGGTATTGTTTTGACCCCCAAACAGAAGAGACTCTATCCCCCTTTTCACATTGTTTGGAGAATGTCCTCATTACTTTGCTAGAAACTTGTTCCGCCCCTAAGAAGTCACCTTAGACGGAGGCAGGTCCAGGACGGGCGGCAGCGGCAGCGGTGCAGGTCTGGGGTCCACTCCTATCGCTCGGACTCTCCCCGCTCGGACTCTCCCCGCACCCCTGCAAGCTATGCTCCCGTGCAGAACCAGCGAACGAAACGAAAGCGGGGTAGCCCGGGGAACACCAGGGCCAGCGGCCGGGGTCCGTCACCGGAGAGGGACGGCCTCCATCCCTTGCTGTGCGAAGATGTCCTAGCGTGCCACAGAGGAATCTTCGCGGGCTCGGAGCGGGAGCGCGGTGGGCAACAGTCCCCTCACCTCGCGGGACAAGCAAACGGAGCGCCCCGACGAGGCGCTCATTTCTTGGCCCTCGGCCCCAAGGCAGCGTCCCCGCCAGGCTTGGCACAGACCGCGAGGGCCTGGGGGGAGGGCGGGCCTAGGTCGCAGGACCGCCGTCAGCCCAGAGGGCTCAGCCCCGGGCAGAACAGGCCCCGCGGGCGCCCACCAAACCCGCGTCTGGAGGGTCGCGCGGGGAGAGCTGGGCGCAGCGCGGGGGGCGGAGCCCGGCGCCCGCCCGCTCCGCCCCCCGCCGGGCGCCGTAATTAATGACCGTCCCTTGGCCCTCGGGACGCTCCACACCTAGTCGGCGGCCCCAGTGCAGGCACGCGGCTGAGTACGGAGCTCCGCCGGACGTGCCCGCCGCCCGTGCCTCGCTCGCCTGGCCTCGAGCGAGGACATAATAGACGCACCCGGCAGAGCTGGACGTGGCCTTCGGCTTGGGCCGGACGAGGATGGAGTGACCCCGCGGGCCCTGGCCACGCAGACTCGGCTGGACGCCCGCGGCGCGCTCACACCTCGGAGTCCGCACTCACAGCCGCTCCAGGAAAGGTGAGGTCCCCGGGCCCAGAGCGGTGGCGGGTGCCTTCCCCCAGGGGAGAGGCAGGCCCGCGTTCCCCGTTCCTCCCGCGGAAATTCCCAGCCCCGGGACGAACGGCCGGAGGGACGCGCGTCCTCCTGGCCCCTCGGCCCGCACTCCTCCCCCGCGGCTCACACACACACACACACACACACCGTCCAGGAGCCCGACTCGGCGGGGCGGCGTGCGGCGGGAGCGCGTTCGCGGTGCCCGTGGCCGAACGCCCGCCTCCCCTCACCTCGCCTGCCGTCCTTTGCAGTGCGCGCGGTGCCAGACGTCGCCATGGACCGCGGCCGCCCGGCGAGCAGCCCCCTGAGCGCCCGCGCTGAGCCGGCGTCTCCAGCTGCGACCACCCGCGACTCGAGCCCAGTGAGAACCGGCCTGGGGCCGGCGGGCCCCGGAGTCGTGGTCGGAGCGCGCTCCGGGGGCGGGCGGCCGGCGGCGGCGAACGCAGCGCGGGAGCGCAGCCGCGTGCAGACCCTGCGCCACGCGTTCCTGGAGCTGCAGCGCACGCTGCCGTCGGTGCCACCCGACACCAAACTGTCCAAGCTGGATGTGCTGCTGCTGGCCACCACCTACATCGCCCACCTCACCCGCAGCCTGCAGGACGACGCCGAGGCGCCTGCAGATCCCGGGCTGGGCACCTTGCGAGGCGAAGGTTACCTGCACCCGGTCAAGGTAGGCGGGCAGGGCGCACTGCGGGGCGGGGCTGGGGACGCCGGGACACCCTGAGCCGCCCTGCCTCTCACCGCTTGGGCAGAGGCTGTCAAGCTCCTTTCTCCCAGTAAAGAATGTGGGCAACAGATCTGGAAAGCGACCTGAGTCCGCTGACACCGGGGGTAAGGTCCCCGCTAGGAGAAACAGCTGAACAGTGCAGAAGCAGTGGGCGAGACGTTTAAACCTGGGATGGCCAGGGTAGGGGACTTGGCCTGTTACAGAATGGCACCCTAGTAATTTTCCACCTTTCAAGGTGAGAAATGGGGGACTTGGTTACATATCCTGGTAATCAATAGTATAAATATAAATATTTATATTTATAACCCTTTACAAGGCTGTTTTAGTTACATAATTACATTTCCATTGTATTTTTCATGGGATGTTCCAAAGGTTTCACGAATTAAACGTAGCCATAGAATTGACCCTAAGTAATCCTAGGAAAAGTTAATTTTTTTTCCCCGTAAGAATCAAGGAGATCATTCTATATCCCTGTGGAATAACATTTCAGCTACTTAAAGGTTAAACATCATAGAATAGACAGCTACCAAGAACCTAAGACTGTAATGTTTTACTCAATTGTCAGATTGGCATGTATGTTGAGTAACTTGATTAAATACTATAAATTTTGCAACGTAAATAGCCAAGAGTATTTTATATAATTTCTTTGCATATAGTTAAAAACGGTCATAATTCTTAATGTAATGTATGACTGATTTAATACCTACTGCCTATGTAAATGTATGCTTATCTATATTTATTACATATAATGATGTATGTGACTATGGTTTATTACCTTTTCCTCTAGATTTGTTTTGAAATCTTGTATTTGAGCTGGCATACTATTAAAAATACGTAAGATATACTTGTTTAATCCATATTTTTGAATTTTTGTTTTCATCATTCTAAAGTTTTTTAATATACACGTAGAATTAGGACTTAGTTTTACGTACCTCAGAGTTTAATAATTAAGGATGAATTGTTGTTGAAATGTATAAAGCATACCTAATATTAACTGTATTTACAGTTCTGGGGTAGAGTTTAGCCAAATTTACTTTGCAAATGTAATCAAGATGATAATAGACAAACTATTTCAAATATTAAGTATAAAATGTGAAATACCATTATTTATTTATGATAGACCCCATCCTATTCACGAAATTATATAAAAATTTCAGCTGAATGAATCTCACTCATTCTAATTAATGATTTTGTGTTACAGTGGGCATTAGATTGGTATTCAAATATAACACTAATAATATTCAAATATAACACTAACACTTTTGACATAACATTTGCAATGTTTTCGGAGAAGGTTTATTTTAATATTAAATCAATTTTAATGTAGAAAGCATATGTTAAATAGTTCCTGGGAGATAAAGTTCAGAATGAGAAGTAAATTTTCACCTTAGTTTTGTCAAGTGTTTTGTTTTTTAATGAGCAATGTTAGAAGCACCAGTGTTAAATGTAACAAATAAGCATAGAAAGCTTTTTGGTACCTTATTCATGTACCAATGTTTTATAGTTTTAACTATTATAAGAAAAATTAAATCTTATTGAATCAATGATTGTGATTTTAAAAGATATCCGTAGAGACAGTGGTAGAAAACAGAAGATGATCTCTTTTATTTTTAGAGGTCAAATATTTTTTATTATCTTTAGAATTTGTACAAAGGGTGAACATTATCTCTTAAAAGTGAAATTTAGTGGGGCCTTGGTGGCTAATCCCTGTAATCCCAGCCATTCAGAAGACAGAGATCTGATGATGACAGTTTGAAGCCAGCAGGAAAGTCTGAGAGATTTTTTATCTTCAATTAATCACCAAAAAACCAGGAATGGAGCTGTGGCTCAAGTGGTAGAGCACTGGTCCTGGAGAACAAAAGCTCAGGGAGAGCACCCAGTCCCTGAGTTCAAATCCCAGGACTCACACCAACAAGATAAAAAGAAGAAAAGAAATTTAAAAAAGAGCTTGCTGTTCAACATCAAAGAACTGACATTTAAAACCACACACTATTTTAGGACAGTGAATATGATCATGAGTCAGCTGTAGTTGTTGCTGTAAATGAACACATTACTGAGATGAAAACAAAAGTAGAAACATGAGTGCAATACTGTAAGGGTGAATATTGTATTTACTCAATCACACTGTCACCATGTGCTGTGGAGGTTTAGCATATAATGAAAACTGCCTGTTACATCTTTTTTTTCTTTTCACAGACACTGTCTATCTTTAATGCAAAAGGAATAAAGTAATTCTGTTCATCTTTACATTTTGGAAAACTAATGGATTATTGTAAACTATTAGAGCCTAGTATGTATGCCAAAATGACTTGTTTTTTTCTGACTTATGACATAGTGTTATTAAAACATACCATGATGACCAAATAGATTTTTAGTAGTATATATTAACTGTACAAAGGGGTTTTATTGTGGTATTTCCATTCACAACTAGTTGGTCAAATTCACCCCTTCTATTACTCATTTTTATCACCCCCACTTGTTAATAAATGTTCATGGGTTTTATTATTCTAGTTACGTACATATAAAACACAGCCATCATATTCACACACTCTTTTACTTCAGTTTCACAGTTTTTAAGCATCAGTCCTATTACCAAGGTTGTGAGTATGTTAGAACTGTTAGGGATATCTGCTGTATCTCAAAAGACTGGAGGGTAGTTCAGTGGTAGCAAAACCCTGGACTCTATCTCTGGCATCAAAAAGAAAAAAGTGTCTCTAGTTAAATCAGAAGACGTACGAGACTGGGCTCCTAGGACTTTTATTCCTTTGGGACATCAACTATTTCAGTCAGCACCTATGGTTCAAGGGGCAATGATTTTCTGGAAAAACAGGAATATATTTCAGACTTCTGTAGTGAGAAAAAAGCAAAGCAGATGACTTTATTCATTGTTGTGCCCCTTAAGCATGTCTCATAACATACAAAAATAATAATTAAAAATAAACATCAGATTATATTATTTGGCGGTCATATAATTAGACCAAGAATATGTTTCTAAGACCTTCAGTTTCAGTTTCAGTTCCAGTTAATCATAAGTTTACTAGTTTTTTCTAAGCTTAATGACACTACCTGATTTTAATTCTGAGAAGGGGAAGCAGAGTTCAGGATTGTATCAGTCTACACAGTGAGAGAAACATTGGAAAGTAGACAGTAGATCAGTCAACTATTTTTTCTTTTGATATCCTAGTGACATGTAATCTAATCAATATGATAATTTCTGATTCTTAAAAACTATTTTGCATACAGTAAACTGCATCTAAATTAATTCAGTTGAATAAGCTGTAATTCCAGCTATGTGGGAGGCTGAAACAGTAGGATCTTGAGTTCAAGACCAGCTCAGGTAAAGTTGCCAAGCCTTATTCTCAGAAAAAGAAGAATAAAACAAAAGGGCTAGTCTTAGAACACATATGCTGCAAGTCCTTGGATTCAACACCTAGTACTGCAAAAATAATTACTTAATAAATAAAGTAATTGAATAAGCCTTTTGTAAATAAAAGAAAGTTCTTATAAAGGAAATTACATATGTCCTAGCAAGGAAGTAAGGAATAGATTCCTTCACTTTTGTCCTTAACTTAATTTCAAGCAGTTTTCAACACCGTAGGATCTCAGTATCCGCAAGGAGCACTCAGTAATATTTTCCTTTTATTTGTTTTTAGGTGAATTTAACTTACATAATTTCCAAATTACATCTGAGATTTGTGCATGAAATTTTTTATGCTTATAAAAATGGGGCAAAGTTATACGATAGTGAGCACTGGCTTATAATAGAGCCAGCAATCTTGTACCTGAAATTGATTTCTGCCCTAGACTATTTCTGCCCAGACAATGTTTTAGTCTGTTGAGACTGCCATAACAAAACACTACAAACCAGATATCTTTTTTTCCTCCAGTCTGGAAGCTTGAACTCAGGGTCTGGGCCCTGTTCCTGAGCTTCTTTTTGCTCAAGGCTAGCACTCTACCATTTGAACCACAGCACCATTTCCAGCTTTTTCTATGTATATGGTAGTGAGGAATCAAACCCAAGGCTTCATGCATGCTAGATTATTTTTAAATAAGACTAGTTTATTTTTAAATTTCCAGTAACACAAATTTTGTATTTTATTTGGGTATAATACAGGAAGTACCAGCCAGAATCTTAAAAGAACTGAACTACCCAGGAGCAAAGTCACACATCACATTTGGAGATGTTAAAATGAAACTTTTAGTGGATATAAATAGACTTTCCAGTCTTCTTCTGCCCATTTTATTCTTTTTTACACTTTCATACATTTTTTCTTTTTTGGTGTTGATACTGGGGCTTGAATTCAGGCTTTGCACACTTACATGACTTGTTCAGTCAGGGATAGCATTCTACTATGTAAGTCATGTCTCCAGTCTCTCTATATAACATTTTTAATTTACACATATGAGTTGTATATATTTATGTAATATAGCAATACAACACGTGTATACTACACAGGATTCAAATCAGGTTAAGCATATCTATTTCTTTAAACATTTGTCATTTCTTTGTGGTAAAACTATTCAAGGTTTTCAATTTGTCTTCAAGGTTTTTATTTTTTCAAAATATCAAGGTCTTAAAAATATACAAGATTTCAAATTTTCTTCAGGCTTCTTAGAATTATAAAGTACATTATCATTATCTGTCACACACACCCCCCCCCCCCCAGTGTGTACTAGAACATCAGAACCTTAAAGTATGGACTGTGCCATGAATTTATCATCCTTTCTTATGGACCATGCTAATCTTCTCTGCATCATTCCAGTTTCATTGCATGTATATTTAGTATAAAATTGGGCACTTTTTTTTTTCATAAAGGTAGTACACATTTAATTCAGGATCACACATTGCTAGGTGGGATGCTGCTATGTAAACCTGCCTCTGTTTGCATGTACCTCTGGAGCACTTATTCTTTAGCGCTACATTTTAATTTCATTTCAGGCTTAGTTTGAAATTAAAATATTTCAAGTAAGCTGGGTGCTGGTGGCTAATGCTTATAATCCGAGCTACTCCAGAGGCTGAGATCTGATGATCAAGTTTGCAGCCAACCAGGGTAGGAAAGTCTGTGAGACATTTATCTCCAGTTAATCACAGAAAAAGCTGGAGGTGGTGCTCAGACTCCAGTGGTCGAGAACTAGACTTGAGCGAAAGGAGCTCAGGGACAGTGTCCAGGTCCAGAGTCCAAGCCCTAGAACTGACCACAAAAATTTTTTTTAACTATATTTTTTTCTACACTATTTCTGCACTGACTTCTTGTAGTTCTTGTCCACATATACATGGTTATTTTTATAGTTTTAACCAGTATTTTACTTTATTATTTGCATTTAGGAGTTTTCTGTTTATTGGGGTTCGTGATTATAATTATCCCTGGCCATCTGATATTTACATGAAAGATATTTGGAATTTTTAGAATATGTTATATTTGTTATACTAAGTACTGGATTCTTATTTAAAAATTATTTTTTTCAGAAATGGCCCATGCGATCAAGATTATACATTGGTGCTACTGGTCAGTTTCTGAAGCATTCGGTGTCTGGAGAGAAAGCAAATCATAGCAACACTCCAACAGACTCACAGCCTTAGGATCTCTCCTGGGGGGCCCTGTACAAGTACTGGCTCTTTAATACTATGAAATAAAATTTTATTTATTATATCAAAAATAGCAAACATTTCTGAAGGTCTACTTTGGAGCCCATAGTTCAAAGTCAATATTTATCTAAGTAACTATGAAATTAAATGACCAGTCCTTTATAAATCACACAGCTTACCTATCTATTCATTGTGAGAGTTACTGCTGTAGAATGCAAGAAAAGTTACTAGAAAAGAAGAAAAAGGGCTGGTATGGATCAAGCTATAGAGCACCTGCTTAACAAGCATAAGGCCCTGAGTTCAAACCCCAGTGCCACCAGAAAAAAATTAACACATAAGAGCAAACAATTGTGCATATGTTCAAAGAGTGCACACATTTTCTTTATCCCTTATAAATAGGTGATTAACAATCCAGTGCCCATGGTTCATGCCTGTAATCCTTGCTACTCAGGAAGCTGAGATCTGAGGATTGTGATTCAAAACCAGCCCAGGTTGGTTATATGTGTGAGACTCCTATTTTCAATTAACCACCCAAAAAAGAGCCCAAAGTAGAGTTGTAGATGAAATGGTAGAGTGCTAGTCTTGAACAAAAAAGTGCAGGGACAGTACCCAGCCCCTGAGTTCAAGCCCCCAACCGGCATACACACACACACACACACAAGCATATTAGCAGTCTAAAGAATAAAATCTGTATTTGTAATATAACAATACTTCATTTATTGTGAAAACCAGTGTGTGCTTTTATCAGGTCTATGAAGCTATTTCAGTTATGATATCATTTATTCACCTTGGATTATATATGTGAGTATAAAAATTGCAGTAACTTGTATCACTAGTAGTTTTTCTCTCTTGGAAAACTTGCTTGAACTATTAAAAAATGATTTGCTCTATAAGGCATAACTACTTTTCAAGAGGTTTCTTTGATATTAAGATGTGACTTCAGTGTTTCCTAATTGTGGAAGGCAAGAATACACGCAGCCAGTATGAACAGGATCCAGCTGTCCCTGGCCACAGCATAATCCACCCATCCTCTTTTAGGATGAGCTATGGCCACCCTGCAAAAGGTGAATTTTCAGACATGGTGTAGGTCTTGAGTGAATCCCCATAACCTTCCTCAGCCAGTGCTGGTGTCAGGCTCTTCCTCCTCATGTCAGCTGTTTAAAACCAATCAAATTGGCCGTTACAAAATGGGAGAACCTGATTTGGGAATTCTAGCACACATCCGCACCTTGAGGAATTCTAAAGACACAGAACATCTACATTGAGATAAATTAAGACTGGAGTAGAACCCCCCAAGTCTGCCCGTACTCTATTGGCAGGCCTCTCCCTTACCACTGCCCACCATTAAATGCCCAGGAAGTAGCTGGTTTCGTTATACCAGTCATTTCAACAGGAGCCTGCTGAAAATCATCTGGTAGATAAAGTAGATAAACCTTTTCCTTTGATGATACACCTTTTCATTTCTACCCAGTTACAAGTATTTTAAAACCAAAGAAGTGTTATTTGTAGTACAGATTTTTATGCTATCTAATTAAGTTGTTGAATACACAAACAGCTTTCTTTAAGTTGGAAAATCTCAGAGTAGAGCTGCACAGATTGTCAGGGAACTCATTGAACCCCAAAACAATGGAGTACAATTAAGAAAAAAAAAACGGGCATCATCTCTTACGTGCTTATTTTTGTTTCCACCACTTCTTTTCTTCTCGGTTTTTACAATTCCTCTTTCCAGCTGTGAAATTCATTTCTTTCTCAGTAACCCAATTTGAAAGTTGTTGAATTTTACCTAAGATTAGCAAATAGAGAGGCCTATTAATAGGCCTGATTGAATTACTATAAGAGGGCTGGGAAGGTGGCTCAGTGCTTGCCTTGCATGCATGAAGCCCTGGGTTCTATTCCTCAGCACCACATAAGCAAAAGGAAAAAAGCCGGAAGTGGCACTGTGGCTCAAGTGGTAGAGAGCTAGCCTTGAGCTGAAGAACTGAGGGACAGCGCCCAGGCCCAGAGTTCAGGCCCCCATGACTGGACCCCAAAAAAAAAAAAAAAAAAGAATTACTATAAAATTGAAACACCGTTTTATTTTCACCTTAGTTTTCCAGTTTTGGGGCAGTAAAAGGAAGGCAAGAACTACTGGTTCAGTTGATTCAAGAGAACATGGCTGTGTTTTAACTTACCTCCAACAATTTGTAATTCTCATTATTTTAATATGAATATCCTTAAAATGTGACCAACTAGAAAAGCTTCCCACATATGAATATGTAAGACAAATGTTTGTATATTTAAGTGTGTACAGATATATTTACCCTTTCTCTCTGATATTGAATAAAAAGCAAAATAAGATTTGAATTCATCAGTTTTTATTGGCTGCTAAATGTGGTGGTTGTTTTTGTATATTAAAGAATGGAATCAAACTTCTTTAAAGTTACCTCAAACAGACTTGTAAATTTTGTAGTCTGAATTTCAGTAAAAGTTGATTGCTTATAAATTTTACAGCATTTAATTGGGAAAAAAAACCTTGTGATTTTCATTGAGTTATTCGACTTTCCAAAAATCATTCTATTAGTAGAGCTTTGCTTTTAATGATACAACTTTTCATTTTTACTTGTCCTGGTTCAAATGTTTTAAATCCAAGGAAGTGTATGTATGTCATAGATTTTCATAACATTTTATTAAATTGCTAATATACGAACAACTTTAGTAGGTGGAAATATCTCAGAGGAAAATTGTGTATTTTCCTCTAAAGGTTCAAAGGAGCACACTTTTAATTAATGATGCATGGTCAGGATATAGAGCATTATTAAAATAAAATGCTGATATAAAAATTTAGTCTGAAAAGTTTGCATCTGTCTCTTTGGATATTTAACAAAAGCAGTACACTGAAAATCTTTCTAGAAGATAGATCTTTTCAGCTAGTGTTCACTTTAGAGGCCACATTAGAACTTAGGAGGGGAAGTATTTGAATCATCATATTACCCACAATCTACACCGGAAATCCTCAAGCTTTTTCAGTTCATTCAGCTTTCCCAGTAGGATTTCCCATTTAAAATTCCTCTATAATGATATAATTTAGGGGGCTTGGAAAATGCCTTCTAGAGGCAAAACAAGTTCTACCAGACTTTTTTTTCTTTTATCTGATTATATATATATATATATGTTAATTTCTTATATTCAACTATATATCCATAAAACTACTAAAAGTACACATATACACTTTGTTTTGAAAAATAAGCTTTAGATGGGCATGTGTCTCACATCTGTAACCCTAGCTATTCAGGAGGCTGAGATTTGAGGATTGTGATTTGAAGCCAGCTAAGGCAAGAAACTCTATGAGACTCTTCAATTAACCACCCAAAACCCAGAAGTGGAGCTCTGGCTCAAGTGGTAGAATGCCAGCCTTAAACAGAAAAGCTCAGGGATAGCACCCAAGCCCTGAGTTCAAGCTCTAGAAACCACCAAATACAAACAAAAAAATCAGGGCTGGGACAGTGGCTCAGTGGTAGAGTGCTTGCCTTGTATGCATGAATCCCTGGGTTGGATTCCTCAGCACCACATAAGCAGAAAAAGCTGGAAATAGTGCTGTGGCTCAAGTGGTAGAGCACTAGCCTTGAGCTGAAGAGCAGAGGGACAGCACCCAGGCCCAGAGTTCAGGCCCCACTATTGACCAAAAAATAAATAAAAATTTTAAAAATCAAATGAAAAATGAAAAGTCCTGTTATAAAGGTGTTTGGGTTAGAATAAAAAAGGGGATTGTCTGTTCCACATTACTTGGTAATGATGAATCATTTTGCATTTTATAAGGCTTTAAAAAATTATTGTAAAGGTGATGTAAGAGGAGTTACAGTTATGTAAGTAACAAGTACATTTCTTTTTGAACAGTGTTACCCCCTCCATTGTTTTCTCCTGCTTTCTCTCCCCTCCACCCTCAACAGAATTGTAAAGCTCATTTCCAACAGTAGTGTCTAGTGAGTATCTCTGTTGCATTGGTTCATAAGGGTTTTTTTTAACCAAATTATTCCAATATGCAGTTGCATATAACCTAAATGGTGATTTTTTTAGCTCTCCATAGAGACTTTATGTAGTCTTAGAAGAAACTGCAAAAAAGGGAATATATGCTGACTGACCCAACTGAAATGTACAGTAATTATTTTAGTTGAAATTGCATCGTAGTTGAAATTATTCAGTAATTTCTCTTTTCCTCATAGAGCCTCATTTATATTCATCAAAGCTCCAAACAGTTACTTTCAATCACAGAGTAAGTCTTTAGGCACCGCTCAGTTCTTTCTTAGTGGACAGTTAGCTATCTGTATATGTTTCCAGCTTAGCACTCAATCTTTGTTCTCAGTGCTTTTCTGAGAAAATAATTCAATACAGACAAAACATCTCTACAGCAGCCATACATGATTCTCTTAGAATCAATACATAAATTGTATTTGTCATCCAAATAAGACAAGGCTCTATGTAAAATCATATCACTGCTCTTCTGAGCTGACAGGAAGAAAAAAAAACCAACATTACTTCTCACTGAAATTTAAGCATTAGATATTATGAGAGATGTCTATGCTTTTTAAGTTGTATTGATTATATGCTTTATTTGAAAAGCTATAAGCTTCTACTTACCTCATGCTGACAGAATCTGCCTTAATGTGATAGCAAATTCACCTTTTTATTTTTTATTAAAACCAGCATTACTAGAGAATTAACTTCCAGATTTCCTAGATGACTTAACTAGTAGTGTAGGCTGTGTCTTTTCTCCAAGATGTATACTTTTGAATTTTTATTTGTCTTCTTACAACTTAAAAAAAAAAACCCAAAAGCTACAATTCCAAAAATTTAAAAGGAGAACTCGAGGGCAATAGAATACAATTGTCTAGCTCAAAGAAATTCCTCTGTGCATTTGTTACATAACAGTAGCTGGTGGTCTTCAATGTGACTTGTACTAAAAACTAAATGTCCCTTAAATCCTGTCAACTTGCTTCCTGTAGAGTGAATAACTGCAGTGCCCCACAAGGAGCTGCACATAGCTGAGAACCAAGACATTGATATTCTGCCTAAGGACTCACACCGGAAGGGAAACCCCTCGGATGTTTACATAGGTCTTAGTTTCAACTCATAAGAGAAACTAGTTCAGCGAAACATACATCAGTCACTCAAATGCTTTCATTATGAATTATACCATAGCATTTAGCTGTCAGAAGCTTTTATAATTATAAATGGGAGAATAATCTTAGCTATTAGGCTTAAAGATTATGTCAATAGTCATTTCCTTTACACATGAATGTTACTGAGGAGGTGGGGGGGATGCTCTTTAAGAAACAAAAAGGGGGTCCTAAGGATGAACTTGACCACTCCTCTCCATTTTGTAATATAAAATGATGCTAATTGAAATGAACTCCAAGACATGGAAACAACAGTTCTTTTTCTTTTGGTTGTGGACCTTGTTGTTACCAATATAATATATATTTCTTTTTACTTCACTTTTCTTTTTCCATCGGTTTATCCCTGGAGATCACTGTCTTTGATTCTGGTACCTGCATTTTGTATATACATTGATCTGATTTGGGGAAGGGAAGGAGAATAACAAATTGTTAAAACAAGCACAAAGGATGGTCCATTGCAACAATGATATACACAAGACACTATGGTGGAAATAAACTTTACAACTTTGGTGGGTTGGGGGGAGGAGTGGGGAAAGAAGGGATAGTGGGAGAAAAACAAAGGAGTGGGTAACAATGTTAGACAACAAATGTTGTTGTCATTACCTTACCCATGTAACTTTAACCCCTCTGTACAGCATCTTTACAATAATTTTTTAAAAAACACCCTGGGGTCTAAATTAATTTTAAACATTTATTTTTCAAATGAATTCTAAAATCTTTATATAAATTTTTATTATAATGCACCTTAATTTTTAATTTTAATGGGTAAGTCAGGTGAAACAAGAAATATACTAAAAAGGAAAAAAAAAAAAAAAAACAGGCTATGCACTGGTGGCTTACACCTGTAATCCTAGCTACTCAGGAAGTTGAGATGTGAAGACTGTGGTTCAAAGCCAGTCAGGCAGGAGAGTCTGTGAGAGAGTCTCCAATTAACCACCCAAAAGCCAGAGCTGTGGCTCTAGTGGTAAAGCTCTAGCTGTGAGTACAAAAGCCCAGGGATAGGGCATAGGCTCTGAGTTCAAAGTCCAAGATCTGCACAAAAAAGGAGCAAGTTTGGTAGCTCTCATGTGTAAGCAAAGGAGACTTAGGAAACAGAGATCTGGATCACAGTTTGAGGCTGGCCTAAGTAAAAAGTTAATAAGATCCCACTTCAACAAATACACTGGACATGATGGCTCACACTTGAGATGCCAACTTGGCAGTTGGTCATTGGCAGGAGGATTATAGTCCAAGGTGGCTCCAGGTAAAAACATACGTCCCTATCTGAAAACTAAAGCTAGGGAGAGCTGAGGCATGGCTCAGGTGAGGGCCTGTTAGCTAGGAAGAGGCTTTCAGTTTAAACCCTAGTATCACCAAAAAAGCCAGACAATATGCAATCTTGTTCTTCCTCTACCTGCAGCACTTTGGTACTCTTGCTACTCTAAAATGCCTATACCAGAGTGATTCTGAAATGTGGGCTACTGCTGAGAAAAAGCAAATATGCCAATGGAGGCAACAGGAATGTCAGAACTAAAAAGATGGAAAGTTATTTTTAGATTATCCCTTAGAAAGAGGAGGCCAATTCCATCATTGTCCAGTCAGGACATATATATTGATTAGGTTCTAGGGACACCGAGGGGACATAGTCCTAAAGAGGGAGACTTGACCTGAGGACCAGACCAGAACAAGAATATAAAGCTAGTGATGCTGGGCCCTGCTCAGCCTGAGAGTCCCAGAGAGCTGTCACACCTATGACATGTC